AAATCTATTTAAAGTCATTGCAGAATTTTAAACCCACTAATGACTCCCTTTTTGAATTACTGTTTATATAAAAAAAAAAAAATAGTTCAACTATTAAAATAGCATATTTTTGGTATTTACAAAGTTTTATTTGAACTTTCAGATCTCGTATATTAAGTTTGAGTACAGTTAATCCTAATTGTATTACTTTATTGCATTACTTTTCCTTTTTTTTCTTATAAATAGTGAAGCTTGTAATTTTGTTTTATTGATTTTATCTTTGATGAATACGATATGTATGTAATACCAGACTTTTTATAACAAATTTTAATTTAAATTTTCGATTTAATTTTCTTGTTAAAACTCTGTGTGTGTGTGTGTGTGTGTGTGTGTGTGCATGTGCTTGCGTGTGTGGCGTGCGTAACATTTTTTGTGCTCAATTAACAAACATCTTTTTAATGATCATCGCACAACTCGTTGAATAACAACAACAAATTCCAAAAAAACATAACAAAATCAAATCAAATCCGAATATCTGAAACCACAAAACAAAATGTAATCTGACGATCAGGTGCCAGCGATCTCACTCGCTTACGAGCAAGCCGAGAGCGACATTATGAAACGTCAACCCAGGGATCCCTACCGTGACAACTTGGTTAATCGCAGGTCAGGAAAAGAACACAAAATACTAAAAAAACAACAACAAAAACAAAAACAAAATAAGAAATTACCAAATTGTAAAACATGACATTTCAGCCAAAATGTGCAACGTTTTACTTTTCGTTGATTGTATGTTGTTTCCTTTTTATAATTTAAAACGAAAAAGTATAAAAAACTTAATAACAAAAACAAATAACTATATTACTGATGTGCTAATTAGTGCTTTATTAGAACGATTTTTTTTATCTGTTGTAGTTCTCAATTCAATGTACATCTCCCTCCTTCCTTCCACGAACCCTACCCCTATACAACATTTGTGCCAGGATACACTATACATATATACATACATTGAAGTACCTACATTCGTGATGGGTAGCGCATTGTCTGTGCGCAAAGCCTTTTAAAGCTTTCTATACATTTGGTATACATATCGTATGTACATACATATGTACATTAGGTTGGTCCAAAAATGCATTTGAAAATGTAGAGCTGGTATTTTTATGCTCTCTCCCCCTAGGATTTGAAATCAAAATATATTTAGAGGTCGCTCAGAGTGCTCAAAGTTTTCCATGAATTTTATGAGGAAAAAAAAAACTTTTCGTAGAAATGGTATAGAAAGAATTCTTGAAAATCATTATTTTTTCAATCGGAAAACTATTTCTCTTCAGAAGATTCCCAGTAATAATGCCAAATTATTTATTTAACAATTTTTTCATAGTAACTATATTTTATAGGTCCGTTGTTGGAAATTTTCGGTTCAAATGTGGAAATTAATTCTTTTAATTAAGTTCTCTCGAAATATTTCACATAAATTCTTCAATAAATTTTACACAGTTACATACGTACATGCATACTACACACAAACTGGCACATAACGCACACTTACATTCACATGTATGTATATTTTAAAATTTATACAAAATTTTCTATTCTTCCAATTAAAAATGAAATTTTTTGTCATATCTATTTTTTATAACCTCAAATTATTGACGTTTTGAATGCAAAATTCTGGAATAATCTATTTGTCGTTGCATTTCAATATTCTCTGCATTCGTAATTTTATTTACTAATCGGAAAACATCGCTGATCTGAATTTTACACATACATAATTTTGCAGACATTCAATAAAATACTTCTTCATAAAACATGTGCAAATGTCCTCTTCTACCATCCTTACCACATACAGGTTGCGACAAAACGATAGCATCGCGACATTTCGACTAGTTTTGACTGCTTTTCTTATTTTTGTTTAATACTTTTTTTTTTTTAGATATGCAAGTAAAGCTCAGTATCTAACAGAACCATATAAATCCAAAATTGGAATTATGATTTAGTTTCTTCCAACCACAAAATGTGTTTGGTGTTACCCTCAATCCTCTGAAAGGGTTTCGCCTTCTTGTCCTTGTCTAGCTCGCGCATTTCATAATATTGTAGTAAATATTTAAACAAACACTTGATTTTCTCCCCTGACAAAGCTTCAAATGGTAGAGAATGTGCCTTTTTTATGGCATACGAGTGTGACATTTTAAGAAAGGAAGCAAAGTTTCATCAAAATTCCAAACTTTTTAATTAACTTTGTTGAGTTTTCCCATTTGTGTACAAAGTTTGAAATTTTAATTTACATATTCATGTTTTGTTAGATAATGAGCTATACTTTTATAAAAAGTTAATGAAAAATTGTCAAAATAGGTCGCGGTGCTATAGGTTTGTCACAGGCTGTACAAGATTTTTTTTTTGTTTTATTGAACTTTGGGTATGGTGAAAAGTCGGTAAGGGGGAAAAAATATTGTTTCAGGAATTGGAAAATCCAGTATTTAAAAAAAATCGGTTTTATAAAAAAACCTATACAAATTTTGGGACAATTTTGATGAAATTTTTTTATTTTATGTAACTGCGACTATTACCAACCCATCTTACTTGCCTTCACCAACCCACCAACCAATAGTGGTCATAGTAAAGTTAACGCCGTTTCTTTTAGATTTTAGATGTTTAGTAAATACCGCTATTGAACGCAAACAGTGCTGAGTTAGTTGCCAAAATAAAATATTTGCATATGTATACAAATGCGTTCTTAGAACAAACTCTAATTTTATAAGAACATTGAATCCAATAGTACTAGTTGCACACATATGTAACTACATATATGTCCATAGATAAATCCAGTACAAAAGTCTGTGGAACAGCTGTCACAATCAAGATAGGTAAAATTATTTTCTATTGCTTTTGCATGGTAAGCGCTCTCTTAAAATAGAGTGGTTATTTTTTTTATTAATCATAATTTAAAAGAAGCCAAAAAATCTAAAAATTATTTGTTGCAAAACTACAAAAACGAAATCCCAATAAAATGAGTAAACATGCAAATATGTCCTTATAATAACTCTATTGGTGCTCCATTGACTTTAATTAGCTGAAATATGGGCTTCCTATACTCCGGAATAATGTTTTCGGTAAAGCAGCATCCAGTTCATGCCACTCTTGGGGTGAGGTCACGACATGTACGAGTGCGCCCGCATGTTGTTTCATGATTGATTTTGCTGTTAAACCGCCATTAAATTTGAACATATCCAATATTCTTTTTAATAACACTGCACATAGCGACACGCGTACGTGATTCAAGAAAATTTCATCAGCATTTAAATAAAGTAGTGTGAATAAGCCATAACTGGATGATTGGCAGGTGACTTCAATAAATAAAATGTTAAAAAAGTAATGTCTCCATACACAAATCTTACCTTTAGGCAGATCATATTTCGCGCATGCAATTTTGTTTTTAAATGTGATTGGTTTTTTTTTTTAATATTCCGTCCGAATTGTCTGATGCTACAGAAGGTACATAAATGTAGTAAACGCAAGTTTAGTGGGCTTCCTAATATGCTTTCCAAATCGAAAAGTTATTCTATATATGACTCTCCCTCTGAATTAGTTACGTTTCTTAAAACATAGTCGGTTATCTTCGCAATGCATGCACTGCCGCAACGCTGACGCAACTTCAAGTCTTGCTTCAAAACTTATGTACAGTAGATATCGGTTATTAGCAACTGCTCATCTTATAGCCGATATCTACTGTATAAGCTTTTTTGCGTTTATATGCATTATAAACATTGTTCTTACTACTTACAAAAAAATGGAGACATTTAAAATGAATGGAAATAAATTTGTTGACTACATATTTCTTCAACAATAAAATAAAAATATCCATATTAATACTTTTAAATACCCAACTTTGTCATCAATTTTTTTTCCCATTAAATGCCTGGTGGAAACGACCTACTTTTTGCTTCACTTGAACAGGCACATTATTATTCCTCTAGAATGGACTTCTGCGCATCGAAGAAGCTTCGTGTAGATCTAATTTCGTAGCCTGAAATATTTAAAAAAGTGGTGAAAAGAAAAAAATCGTCGATATTGTACCAAAAAAAGCACATAATTAATTTAAATATTACTATTTAATACGTTTAGTATTAGGTACTATCTCTTCAATGCCAAAATATGAAAAACCTGTTCAGAAATTCTTTAGAGGTCTGTTGTCCTTTGTAACTGATTTTAAAACTTCGATCTACAACCGTTCGGCGGTATAAGCAGAGACCAAAAAACTTCGCCAATTGCCTCTCTCCTTTGCGAAGTTGTGTGATTTGGGCACACCGGGTGCAGGCAGTTCCTTCTGCACTTGCTCCCTCCATTGCGTTTCTCGCAAAGGTTTTTTTTTGTCATCGCTCCGCTCAGGCTTCACTCTCAACAAATTTTTTATTTATTTTTTTATTTATGTACATATCGAGGCGAAATTTGTATTGCAAATTTTATTTTCTATGCAGAAATGCATTTAGATGTTGTAACCGCCTAAGCTTTCTCTTCTGTGCCCAAAGGACGCCAATTGGAAATGCCAAGAATACCGCCTGCTCTTTCCAACGCAGTGGAGGCCTTCCTCTGTTACCAGCATCGCGACTCGCGTTGAATACTTTCAAAGCTGGAACGTTTATGTCCATTCGAACGAAATTATCTAGCTGGCGTAGCCGCTGGATTTGGTCGTCATAAAAAGGTCGGGGTCTCATCCGAGGCATATTTGTATTTTTCATTGGGCGGGATTTTAACATAGCGCGTCCCAAACACAGCGCACGCGAAGGTTTTATGCCTTCTCACTTTAGCCTGCTCCCAAATGGGCGTCGAAAAAATGCCGCTTAAAAAGGCGTCATAAAATCCAATTAAGAAATATATGTATTTTATTAATTTTTGTCACTTTTCTTTTAAATTTATCTTTCTTAAATATCAAATAAAAAAATGAGGCTTTTCCGATGCACAAAAGTCCATATCGACATTCTCATGCCCGTACGTAAGTAAGATACATAGTACGGAAGGCGGCCTTATAAATTTTAAATGAAAATACCGTTTTGCTGTAGAATATTTCAAGTAACGTGTGCGCTATGAGCGCCATTTTAAAAGTAGAGTATCCTTGGAACAATATCTGCTTTTGTGTTTGAGACCATAACTCTAATCAAAATTCGCTGCTACGTTGTGTCAGTTACCACGCGCAGGTTAATCAGTGCAGTTTATTTACTACTAAGTACCCTACAGCGGTTTGATGCTCAGCTGTATTTGACGCCCTGTTTACATACATACTTACATCATTAAATGTTGCTAACAAAGAGAACACGTGGCATTTAAGCTGATGCCAGACAAAACGCTTGCGTGACAGATGCACTTTGACAGATAAGATGAATTGTATGATAATGCACAAAGCATGCCACATCCATAGATCGTTGCAACTTCAGCTTACTGGCAAAGTTATAAATGTCACGCAAAGCCACAAAATTGTATCTGACATCAGCTTTACGTTTCGAACTTTGCTTTCTACATTTCTTGTCTATGAAACTTTTCGCATTTCATTTTTCGTTACGGGATCTACAAATGTTTTGATGCTTTCACATTTCGCAATGTCTTGATGCTCTGTACAACTAACATTCGCTGCATGTCCACAATTTACTGTTTATTATGTTTTTATTTTGAAAATATGTATATATAGAACTACGCCTGTACATATGTATATATTTATATACCAGCTTGTTCATATAAAAATATTGCGTTTTGCTTTAGTTTAGCTGTAAATTGCGCTTGATTATGCTTGTGTTTATATATGTAAATAAATGTAAAATTTATACCAGTCAAATTGTATATGTATCTTTGTATTGTATATAGTTGTGTAAGTATTTATGTTGCAATATGTAGTGCATATCGTTACCTTAATATAGAAAGGCCTTAACTGATTTTCAAAATTCAGTTGTGCATAAAAGTAGATTACCGACTAACGACTTAATCGTATTTAAAATCCACTACTACATAAAAAAAATACTTTCTTTGCTTCTTAGAAACCAGCGTGTACAGTTCTTTTAAAGTTACATATGTATATAACTACTCTGTAAAGAAACAAAACTTTTACATATGCCCTTTCTATATTAAGGTATGTATGTTTACGTATTCGTCATTTATTTTTATTTTTACTAAGTATTGAAAATCATTTCCAGTTTCTTGTTGGCTTTTCTTTTTGGTATACTTAGTTTAGTTTAGTTCAGCTGTACACAATAACAAAAAGGTGCTTTGCTTTTCTCTCACTAAAATTGCGCCCAAAATGCATCCTAAAACAAAACAAAATACCGAAAATGAAATGAAATGAAGACCAAAAACATTAAAATGCACACATTTATGTATATATATATATACGCATATTTATGCCCATAAACACTATGCACTTTACTTTTGACGAGCTATCAGCTCATATTCGCAATACCGCTAAAGAAAACTTTCGAAATCCAGCCGCTTTTTTCTAGTACATATTTAAATGGTATTGTGCATAAAAATTGAAATGCTTTTTTTCCTTAAAAGTTCGAATTTTGATAGTAATTTTAAAAGGAGTAAAATAAATAATTAAAAAATAAAAAATAACTAACACAAATCACTAACGTGCATATCTGATCTAGTAGTTTAGTTAACCCGCTCCGCTATGCCTGTAACTAATTAAACTTGAAAAAAAAAAAACAAATCCCATACGACTTTAAAACAAAATTTATATATAAAAATATGTAAACATGGTGCATATTTTTGTAAATAAATCTTACACCCTTATACATTAATGTAAAATTATAACACACATGTGTGGAAAACCAGGCCAACTGCTGTGTAAAAATAACTTAAGAAGCTGTACAAATTTTCTAGTAAAAAAGAAATTTTATTCAAATATTTTAATTATACAGTTCCAAAATTGAATGAGATGAAATTAAAAATCATATCAAAAATAATAATTCAAACATTAAAAATCCTTTTTTTAAATTTTCATGACATTTTTTATCAAAAAATGTATTTTATCAACAAAATTTGCTTTGGTTTTAGTTAAAATTATGAATTAAATTATTTTGAAATATAATAAGGGGTACGCAGAGTGAATTTTATAACGGTTAAATAATTTTAATGGACTTGCAACCACAAAAAAATTTGTGCCCACAAAAAAATGTATAATATGAGTTAAGATCTTAAAAATTTAGCTATGGTAAAATTGACATGGGACACCCTGCGAAGTACCTTATTATCGATCAATAATTTCTTTGACAATTTCAAAAAAAAAAAAACAAATTAAGTTAATTTTTTAGCTTTAAAAAAATAATTAAAAATTCAAATACATACAGTTAATTTTCAATATAAAAGTGCTCATTAAAGAAAAAAAACTTAATTGAATTGCCTGATTTTGCAAACATTCAATATATTAAAACAAAAAAAAAAAAACAAAACAATATTAAAATTTTACAAAAAGAGAAAAAAATTTAACTAAAACTAAAAATCACACAAAAAGCTATTTACGAATGTTTATAAAAAATAAAATACCTGATAGTGTTTTAACGTTCGTGGCGTGTTTATCTGTCCTATTTTGGCAACATACATAAATACTTGTCCGTCCTGGTAAAATAACAAAATGTCTGTCACTAAAGCGCAAAATATGTATTTCCAGCAACTGGCCTCGTTTTCAAACAAAACAAGTATTCTCCTACATACTTATATGGCTAGTTCTAACCAAAAATAAATCCCACTTTCCCTTCCAAGAAAAATAAAAATTCTACCATACATACATACTAAAATTTTACAACTGAAAACCGCATTGCTGAAAATTGTTACTAATTACTATCTATTCTTATCCCTCACCCCTTATTCGCTGTTTAAAAATGGAATGATACAGATTGATTTCGATGGCATATGGTCAAATTGGTATGATCCAAGCTGCTGCCGGTTTCTTCGTGTATTTTGTTATTATGGCTGAAAATGGTTTCTTGCCAATGAAACTGTTCGGCATCCGTAAGATGTGGGACTCAAAGGCTGTCAACGATTTAACCGACTCATATGGACAAGAATGGGTGAGTACTTAATATTAAAATATAAAAATAAATTAAAAACTACCTAAAATATTTTGAGGAATGCTGTAAAATTTACTGTATGTCGGTTTTGTTTTTTAGTTATAATTATTTTTATCAAGTTATCTAGACTGACCATCTTATTTTATTTTATTTTAAATTATAACTATTGATGTCTGCATTTTTAATATCAACATAGTAATGTTTTGTGAATGTATTAATAAAAACCTGAGTTTCATTCTATCTGTTGTACTATAAATGTTCGAAATGTTCAAATTTTCCATCTTCCTCTATAGACTTATCGCGATCGTAAGACACTCGAGTACACTTGCCACACTGCTTTCTTCGTATCAATTGTGGTCGTACAATGGGCGGATTTGATCATCTGTAAGACACGACGAAACTCTGTCTTCCAGCAGGGCATGAGAAATTGGGCATTGAACTTTGGTTTGGTGTTTGAGACAGTGTTGGCGGCCTTCCTGTCGTACTGTCCCGGCATGGACAAGGGTCTGCGCATGTACCCACTGAAGTAAGTTAAAAAATCAGAAGAAATTCATCACAGGAGCTAACTAATCATGTTGTTGTAATAAATTTTATTTTAGATTCGTTTGGTGGTTACCAGCCATTCCATTTATGTTGTCTATTTTCATCTATGATGAAATTCGTCGATTCTACTTGCGTCGCAATCCAGGCGGCTGGTTGGAACAGGAGACGTACTATTAAGCTGTATGTTTATATACATAACAACAACAGAAACAACAACAACAAGAAAATCAACAGCAACACATTAGCAAGCGCATTTGCAAATATGCCGAGTTTTACGACGACTACAATAGCAGAAAACAACAACAAAATCAGAAACAGAAACAACATGTTTGAATTTTATGCAAGAAATACAAACTAAAACGAGCGCGTCGTGGTCGCACCAGCAGCGAAAATAGAACAGACAACAGTAATAACAACGACACCAGCGGCAGTTGTGGCAGCAAGCAACAGACTTTTACGGCAACGCTGCAAGACAGCAATAAAAATAATATGGCACATGCATGCTGCTGCGAATATCTAAAGCGACCACCAATACCACAACAACAACATCAACAACCAGAATTATTATTATTTTTTTAATTTTAATTATTTAATAAAGAAAAGGATAATTATTTAAACGATTAAGTAAAGTTAAATTATAAATTAAATAATGGTAATAATATGAAACAAAAATAATAAAAAAATTAAAAAAAAAAACATAAAAAAGGAAAACGAAAATCCAACCACACATTACACAATAAATAGCAGTTGTTTTTTTGTAATTAAACTATAATAAAAAGGGTCTCTCACTAAGATAACGGAGGATTTTAAGAATAAACGCGCTACAACAAATCGGTAGAACGCCGTTAGACTATTGGTGAAGGGTAGATAATTGAAGTTTGCAGCAACCTAATTGAGTATGTTAGTCAGCAGTCGGGAGAAACAAAGCAGAGATGGACATTCGTTGCCAGCTTTGATAATATTTCTAGGCGCGCCAACGGTTGAAAAGTGTTAGCACCGATAACTATAAAAAATTTGATAAGAAAGAAACTTAGTTGAAAATTTTTTCTGAATTTAATGTAGGAGAAATAAAAAATGTGGATCAATAAAATACTTAGATAAAATACAAATACGAAACAAAATTATAAGTGACATGCAAGTAAGTGTTTATATATACATACATATATCCTTGGTAATAATGCAATTGAGAAAAGCAGCAGCAAGAACCGTTTTATTAATGCAGTTCACTACCACTAACAAAATGCAAATTGAAATCAAATACACCACCTTAGAGCTAAATTATTTACGCCCCAATCAACCCAACGCTGGTCTACAAGATTGTTAGAGTTTAGAAAGTGGGAGTAAAACATTTGGAACAGCAGTTGGGCTAGCTAAGCTGCAATTGAAGGTTTGACAAGCTGCTATCTAACAAATACAAAATTTTTGAAGGCAGGCGAAGCAGTGAATTATTGGTATAAGAGCAAGAAAAGAACAAACATATAAAAAATGTAGCTAAAGATATGCAATAGGTGAATACTTAAAAATAATATGCAATTGTACCAGCGATAAAGACCGGAAAACCCTGAGGAGCTAATAAGCTGGAAACTTACATCCGATAAGGCAGAGTCAAAGCTGCAGCGCTTGCCTAAGCACACATACACATATTTACATATACATACTATATGTACAAATTGTAAATGAAGATACATACATTTAAAAAAAAAAAACATGTAAACTGCCACTGCTCCCAACTCACATAATATAACATTTACATACACACCACAAATACAAAACAAACATTTGCAAAACACTGAAATATTGAAAGTAAGGGGTCACCCACGCATAATACATACATATGTTGTTTGTTTCAGAATTTCTTACCATTTTCGAATGTGCTAATTCATACATATGCTCCCCACTTCCACTTCCCCTTCCACTTTTGCCCCTTCCAGCACCAATCTTTTTGCTTGCCAGCAGCAATATTCGGTTAACAACACGTTTATTGTTGATTGTTGTTTTTGCAATTTCCCAATTTCCTCTGCGTTGTTTGTCCTGCTGTAATTGTCCTAATTTTTTAAGAAACTTGAGAAAAATAATAAACAATGAGAAATGTGCGTAAACGAAAAGCAAAGGTAAAATGAGAAAAAATGATAAGAAAAGTAAAATAATTAATTTGTTAATCTATTTGCCTTTTTATTGAAAAATTAGAATTTATAATTAAAGTATAAAAATGTGTGAAAAAGAACAAATGCAAGTGAGGGTATAAAATTATAAAAAAAAATTAAAAGTTAGCATTCGTTAGAGAAAAGTAAATACAAAACAAAAATAAAAGGAAATATAAAAAATTAAAATATGTAGCCAATAACATACATACATAGAAAATAAAATTTTAGTGCATGTCTTTTGCTCTCAAACGACGCTTCTCAGCAGCTCGCATACTTGCGCCGAGTGGAAAGCTCCGCGAAGTAACAGCTTCCTATGGTATCCGCAAGCTGTATAAGTAGTAGCTGCAGGACATGCGTGTATGTATATGATTTTTTTTTTTTTAATGCAAATAATTTTAAATTACAATAATTACATAAGTAAAACTGATTCATAAATCAAGTATAAAATACAATGAAAACATTTGAAGATATAAGATTAATGCATAATTCACACCACATAAAAGCAGTAAGAGAATATTTCGTAAAAGTGTTCATATAAAAAGCAAAAACTAAAGAGTACCAAACATTTGAGTATTTAAAAACAAAAAGAAAAAATATGAGTTTTCTTTTCCTTTTTGCTAAAAATTCCATTAACAACCGTAGCCGTAGAAAATATAGTAAAAACTTGCTTTGTTTGTGTGGCTACTGTCTTTCGTGTTAATTCTTCACAATTTTTGCAAATAAATCTAATTTAGCTGAGTTCAAAATTAAAGAAAAAATACAGCAAAACTCGAGTTCGCAATGTATATGTGTATGTAGCAAGAGCGCGCACTTTTAGCCACTTTCCACAAACGCTATAGCATACTTTTCGGCTATTAAGCAGGCCGCTGCTGCTTAGTCTTCTATTACACATCTTGTCACGCGTGCACGCACATGAGCCATGACATTCGCTGTGGCCGCGGGTAGTTTCCAAAAGGTGTGTTGTGTTTTGGTATTTAATTGATTTGAATTGAATATAAAAATATGCGAGCAAAGAAAATTAAATTTGTTATAACATAATCACTTCAGAAACTGTTTTAAAACTGCATTATTTAATTATTTGATATAAGTTTTAGTTTTCGTTCGTTTACTGTATCGCCCTCCGCTGTAAATGTATTTGTAGATTTAATTAAAATTTAAAATTAATACAAACAAAAAACAATAAAGCATATACAAATAATAAAACACACACAAAAAGAATTGCGCATTTTTTATTTGTTACAAAGTGCGGAAATAACGTTAGTAAACCATTTGTATGTATGTAATCGACTTTTAAGCTATATAAAAAATTTTTTTTTTTCGCAATTGAACGGCCACAAACTAAGCACACTTGGCAACTATGGCTGGAACTATCCGTATATTCGTATATCCGGATATTCGTGTATACGAATAAAATCCGAATAGTACGAATAGCTTGGTTAATAGCCATTCATTTGGTTTTCGAGATTAATTAATATTCATGCATTGGGTTATACGGATATCCGCTTAATATCCGTTTATTTGGTTATCCAGTTGTTTCAAAAAGTATTTGGACGGATGCGTAAAATTGTTCTCAAAATTACAGAATCTGTCCAGTTGCAAAGTAACTAATACCCGCCTTCGATTCGCCACTTCCCTGCTCGCGTTGGTTGAAGTTCAATCGCTCTACGAAAAATTTTGCATGTGAAAGCAACAACAAAGTTGTATGGCTTTCCCACGGCACCCCAATTACGTAGTTCGCTCTCTCATTCGTAATTCGCACTCCAATCAGTGATCGGACTTCTACCACATTGTGGTTGATCTGCCACTTTTTTGAGCATCTACCACACACGGTCTGAAATCTACCACATAATCGCATTTTTTAAGACCAAAAAATGTCCAACACTAAACACTTACAACAGGCAGAATGGGATTATAAAATAAACTGTAAAATATTAAATTTTCTCAATATTCAATTTTTCTACAGGAAACGTGGTTTTATTGTGTTAAATTGCAAAATATATGATCTATAAAAATAACTAATAGCGAAAATGTTAAAAACGGCGATTTTTGTGAAAGTGTTAGCAAATTTCAGTGCATCATTAGCTTCTAAAGCGTTGTTTATCTTTACTTGAGAATTGTCAAAATCGGCAAATCCCAAGTAGCGGTTTCTGGAACGTGCCACATTTGTTCGCTACATCGTGATGTGATAAAATGAAATGCTGGCAACACTCCGTAAGGTTGCAGAAATCTTTCAAAATATGTTAGAAAAATATCTTGATATGGAAGGAACTGCTTTACACATTCAAGAGAAAAAATTGCCAAAACTCAACGCAATTTTAAGCAACTTCAGTATTGTACTTTATTATACTAAAATTATAATTTTTTAAATTCTAATTAAAATGTTTGCAATTTATCTGAAACCTTGCAGAATATTTTTAACTTTTGTACAAAGTTTGATCCAAAACCACAAACCACATTTTTTTGAAATCTACCACATTTTTTTCCAGATTCTACCACACAAATATTTTTTGAAGTCCGATCACTGATGCCCTATAAGAATTCCGTTTCTTAAGTGCAGATCAATCAGTCTCTCCAGCATCTTCAAAAAAATGAGGAAAGGCTCATCGGCGTGAATACATAGGTGACCTTACACACGTTAGGAATAAAAGTAACTCTGACCACTCTCCAAAGCCCCGAAACATAACCTCTAGCTAGGCAGATCGCGATGATAGGCATCAATCAGTGGCACGACACCTCCGCAGATTGCTGCCGTTGAGCTGGTATTATGCTGTCCGGACTCGGGGCCTTAAAGGGTTTGAAAGAGCCAATGACTCACACAGGGTGATCTTCACACAATATCTGAGTAGTCCGTTCCATGGCTCTTAGATTCTAAAAGATGCAGTTTCCGTTCTCGTCCTTGATGTATACCAGGGGAACAGGATTCTTAGAGAGGTCTCGCCTAAACCTCGAATATTTTTGGCTACCTTCCACGCGTTAACGAAAAAATCTCCACGAACTTCTTTTCGCTTTCTAATATCGGACTTATATGTAGATCCAAAGTGAAATCTTATTTAGTGTCCAGTCAGAGACCAAATTACTATCCCGGCCTTATGGAAATACCTCTGCTACAGGCTTTAAGTTCAGAGAGCTCCACTCTCCGCTCTGATTTGCTCTTTACTTTGTGGTGACTCAGGGATAGGAGATTTCAATGGCCCTTTTACACGACGAGGTGAACACACCACTTGATTCGTCAATTTGGTTTCAGTCCGCCACTCGCGGATGAAACCGTCAGAATGCCCTGCATACTTCTGCAGTATAAGTCCCAGTTGGTGCTGCTCAGATTTCTGTACGATAATCCGATGATCATAAAAGTAGTAGTCGCAAAGACCCTTCAGACAGAGAAGCG